TGTTTTGTTGTTTTTGTGTTATTTTGATGGGGGGGGGGGGGGGGGTTCCACAACTTTCCCACTTCCTATACTGTTCTTGGAAAATCGGCATCTGCCTTGACACATTCCATGGTGATTAGATGAATTTGTCCGTGCTACCTGTGTGGAAATTAATGATGGAGTATGTTCCTGACTCTTATCAAAACTAAAGAAGTGGCTTGGAGAAGCTACAAGACCTATTCATCTATTCAGAACAAGTTCAGTTGAATGTGACTACCTTTAGCTATTCCTGGATATATGAGAACCCTCACACACTCTCCTACTGAAGGGTTTCCCCTAACATCCAGTTTCAGTGACAACTTTAAAAATGTGTAATTCTCATCAAGTTCAGTCTCAGTGGCAATGATCACCAGGACAAATAGAAAAGATGAATTTCACTAAAGGGAGACATAGAGAGTAATAACAAAAAGGGGGGTGGGCGCGTTAAAGGTGGCATTATTGAACATTGGTGAAATCACTCTATAACATCTAGTGCTTAATATCATATACGTTTTATCTGTAAAAAATAAGTCAAGGCAACTGGACTTGGCTGTATTTTTCTTGAAGACGTTTCGCTGGTCATTCAACCAACTTTCTCAATTCAGAATGACTTGTACAAAAATTATCTGGGAATAAATATGGTGAATGTTGCTCCAATCCAGATAATCCGTTAGTCCCAACCCTATGCATAATTGGAGCTGGGAGGTGTTAATAACCTGCCCAGAGAGAGATGTTAAAACAGCATTGTATGTGTATTTATTAGGGATGCACCGATATATCGGCCGAAAATGGCACTTTTGGCTAAATGCCCGAAAGTGCCATTTTCCTGCCGATATATCGGCGCATCCCAAGTTTCTTTCCTCCCCGCTGGGCGCTGCTCTGTGTCCCAGCGGGGAGGAGGAAAGTGACAGCCGGCCGAGCGCAGCGGGAGGAGAGCGCTGTGAGCGGCCGGTGTCTCTCCTCCCACACCGCTCAGCCGCCTACCACAGTCCGGCAGAGCGGTGTGTGGGCGGAGACAACCCGCGCTGTCACAGGAGACTGAGCTCTCCTCCCCGTACCGCCCCGCTCACCCTCCTGTGAGCGTGTCAGAGAGGAGAGTGAGTGTTTGTAGATAATTGAGGATATGGTATGTGTTAGGGTTGCACAGATAGCAAGTACAGTACATGTACCGATACTTTTGAGCTCCAAGACTAGATTCGAGGAAAATTCAAAAATTAGGAGGCAGCTGTCATGTGTAAGGAGCACACGGAGCTCCTGGGATTAGTACATCTCTGTTTTAATGTACGATTTTGTTTTTATAAATATAAATAAAGGGATGCACCGATGCCAGTTTTGCGAGTACTGGTACTTGCAAGTACGAGTACTGATACATTTTTGGTTAGTGTCATGTGACAGTTTTCCTAAAACAATACAGACTAATGATTTCAGGACAGTGGTGGAGTGCCAGAGCCAGGTCCCAGCTGCAACCGCTGCAACCCTGGTAGTTCTCGTGAAAATGCCAAGTATCTGCACTGGTAGTCGAAAAGTATCTGTGCATGCCTAGTATGTGTACTATATCCTCAATTATGAATGAATGGGAAGTGATCTACATCTTCTCATGTTCATTCATAGTTGTAGTTATAGTAAACACACAATGTTCTCATGTGATCAATGACCAGGAACACTCAGTATAGGGGATTCCTGTTTATTGATAACAGGGGCTGCAGAAAAAGAGATTGAGGACTCTGTGTTCTCAATCTCTTTTTCTATTTTAAAAGGGAAATATCAGGAGTCTTTTTAGACCTCTAATATTTCCCTGGAGCCCCTAAAAGTAAAAAATAAAAATATTTAATAAAAAATGAATTAATAAATATTAAAACAATTTAAAAGTTTATAAAAAATAAATAAAAATAAAATATTTAAAAAAATTGAAAACATTTAAATAAAAACATTTTCAGTTTCGGCCTGACAATTTGTTTTTATTTCGGTTTCGTTTCGGTTTTTAAATTTCTATTTGGGTGCACCTCTAGTATTTATTCCCGGATAATTTTTAGTACAAGTCATTCTGAATTCAGAAAGCTGGTTAGATGACCAGTGAAACGTCTTCAAGAAAAGTACAGCAAGTCCAGTTGCCTTGACTTCGTTTTATACAGATATACCATGACCTGGATGAATGAGAACCTACACAGACACATATGAGTTTTGTACAATAGATGCAATTAATTAGTCATGCTCCTCTGATAATCCTTTGCCAACAACGGGGACTTGCTTTTATGAGTGTCCATATATATTTTAATGTTTTCTATGTCAATAAAAGTTTTGTAAATTCTTCTAAAACTGGTTCAACTGTATTGTGGTTTGTTGTCTCATCTCAAAAAGCCCTATCCAATTCTGTTTTGTGTATCTCATCTAATCAGGATGAGATGAGACAAGGTTTTTTCAGGGGAAACCTAACAATTATATCACAGTAATAAAAAAAAAACCTGACAGTGGGTCCAACCATTCTCTACTGTGTCTAAATTTAAAAAAAAGTTTGCGCTTTAGGTGCACTTTAACAAGGGACCCTATCTGCAAAGCACTGTACTGTGCAGGAGAAGGGTAGACTGGTAACAGAAGATGGAAGCTGAAGTAAAAGAAGAGAAGGCCACCATTAAAGAAGATAAATATTGAATTAAAAAAACAAAGTATATTGCTAGATCCTGAGTATAGATAATGGTACATGCCTGTGAGAAGGTATATTTCCTAAGTGCTGACAATGTAAGCTGTCACTTGGCATTAACTGTAACTAGTGCAAACAACATGCACCTGTATACCGTTACCTACAAAATGATATCAATCTTTAAACACCATTATAATGTTAAAAGGTTTTGTTGAAAAGAATGATGGCATGGTGGCCCCACCATGGTTTCTACCTAGACCTTTACTTTCTTGACTGACCCATGTCTAGTCTACTACACAATAGCAGACAGAACCCTTCATTGACTGCCTGGTACACTGTGTGGCCATACTCATGGCCGGATTTACTCTCTCTGCTGCCCCAAGACCAGGTTTCTCAATGCGCCCCCCTACCCGCCAACTACTAGAGAACTAGATCACTTGTACAAAACAAGCGGCGGCTTCCCCGCTGTACATTTAGCTCCGCTTGCCCAAAGCAGGGTTACATGTAGAAAACAACTACCCGCCCGGCACCTGGAACTGCATGTCACAGGCATTGGGAGATGGGAATTCCACACCCCTGCTGCCCCAAAGCCGGGCCTTGGTTGGCTTTGTGCAAAGTCCGACCCTGGCCATACTTTTTGCAAAATTGTGATTTGTACATAAAAAAACTGTGTAAATAGACACTTTGTCACCAAATTTTGTACTTTTAAGTTTTAAGTATCAAACAAAAATCAATCAATGAACCTGACCCTAAATTATCATTTCCTATTAAATAGGAATGGTTGTGCGATTAGAGCGTTCCAAAGCTGGGGCAAAAGACAACTGTGAGTATATGATGCCCATCGACCATTCTTGGACGTATATTGCTAGATTAAAAAAGCTCTTTTCATTTTATTATAATAAATGCCATGAAAAAAAACCTCTTATAAATCAAAAAATACAGAGAGATGAAACAACTTTAACCTGTCGGGTTCTACTAAAAGATCTCCAATAGGATATACATTGAAATAAAGCGATGCTAGAACATAAAATATGGAGTGAATGGGAACAATTGCGGCGCTATGTTCCATCTCTAAACCTTCCATATAATGTTCTATTGATAGTCTGAATTCGTAACAATAAGTGCAGATTATAATCTGCTGCCTTCCTCTCAATTACAGGAGAGATTTTCATCAGTGTCTTATTCAGAGGTGAAGTGATTATTTCATTTGCACTCTTTTAGAAGCCGCTTTGGTGTAATCACCGAGCTGTACAGAATGCTCTCCTCCGCATCCTCGGCTGATAAAATAACATTTCTGATTGCCAACTCTACCTGGGATGACTTTTACTTTTTATATACTGTCTGGGCTTTCATACGGTCCTCAAAACTTCTATAAAATGTGCGCTTAAAGGGAAACTGCACTTTAAATCATATTGCCCATAATCCTTCTTGTCATTGCACCACCATTCTTCTATGTGGTGTCACAGACCATGCTGTCCATGCCTTGTTTGGGTCTGCGTTGACAGGCATTGGGCTTGTGTTGATGGGAAATAGTGATGAAAGCATGCTACATTTTCCCACTAGAGATGAGTCTGGCCTTGGTGTGAACCAAGCTCACCCAAGCCCGCTCAAAACTATGTCTGCCACCCCATCCTCCCGACCTAATCAGTTGTAGAGAGGTGCACATT